CTGTTACAGCAGTAGTGCCCTGTTACAGCAGTAGTGCTCTGTTACAGAGCTAACTCACCAGCTGGACGATGATTTGATGCGTTTCTTCGAGCGGTGCCGTGGTTACGTGGAGGGCGTGGAGAAGAACCTCACGGCTCTGATGGAGGTCGAGAAGTTCAAACACGGAGAAGAGATGAAGACTGTGAGGAGGAAGGTGGAGGAGAGACTAGGTCTTCATCAGGACGCTCTCACACCAGGTCAGACTCACTCAGAGAGAGAGAGAGATACACACTCGCACTCACACACTCGCACGCACACTTACACACTCGCACTCACACACACTCGCACTCACGCACACTCGCACGCACACTCTCGCACCAGGTCAGACTCACTCAGAGAGAGATACACACTTGCACGCTCACACTCACTCTCACACTGGCGTACACACTCACGCACTTACACACACAAAGTTTTCTCACTTGGTTTTACTTTCAAGTTTTGGACTTTATTCTTTCTATTATCTGGAAATTAGTTCTCAGAACTTTGACTTTAGATTTTTGCTTTATTCTAAACATGCTAATTCATATTTTTGCTCAGCGGAAACAGAGCCACTGGTCTCTGGTCTGGTCTCTTGAAGTTTATCCCTCTGTGTCTCCTGTAGATCTGGTTGAAGCTGCCTTTTTCTTGTGTTCCTACGAGCTCTCCATCAAATCTCTTCACTCTTCGTGGTGTTTCCTGTTTGATGAAGACGATGCAAAGGTAAGAAATTCCAAATAAAAGAGCCCGAGTGGAGCGTCTTCTCTCACAGAGGATCTCTGGTCTGATTAATATATGTAGAACCATAAATACTTTAAAGCAGTGATTCTCAACTGGTGGTGCCTGAAAACATTTGTTTTTTTTTAAATCCTGTGCTTTTATTTTGAAGGTGATTTTTTTATGCAGCGGAGTGCTGTCTATTCACACTTGCACACGACGCCCCTCTCGGGCTTAGGGGGGGTAGCAAATATCGTCCAAAAAATGGTCATATTGATAGCGATTATTGTCCATGTGTACATTTCATATACCGGATTAAACAGCAACGTATGGGCAACACTATCATATAAGTCACTTTTTACACACTCCAAACACAACTATAGACTACTAATATAAGCAACTAGAAAATGTGGCATAAAACCACGTATTCCTGGCCACAAATCTGCGTTTTATTTACTGCGCTTCAATATTGGAACACCAAGCTAACGGCTATACGGCTAATCCATACATCGCCTAGCATTAGCATTCGACGCAGAACCCATAAATGCCTTCGGTTTTTCTCTCTGTCAAACCAGTACAAAGCTGTGAGTGAACAACGGCAACACAACAGTTCCCTTCACCAGAAAAAAATCGTTGGTATCTGCTTACCTTTTATGAATAATCACAAAAATAAAGGCGAAAATTATCCGGTTCAAAGCTAGAATCATTGTTGGCAACTACATCCTGTCTGTTTCTCATCTGTTTCCTGTAGAAGGGGGGTCAATCTAACTTGCTGGAGCCATGGGTGGGTGGTCAGACTTTTGGCGAATGTAATTTTACGCTCGGGGATGCGCGGCACTTCTTGCATCTTTACTCGCTGAAAGTTCTGTCAATCAACACCCGGCTTTGACGACAGCCTTCCTGGGACTCTGACGCGTCGAAGGCGGGCTCATTGACTGAAATCGACCGATGATAGGCTGAGCTACACTCCCATACACACACAGCAACTGGAATTCAGACGAGACAATCCCACGGATGACAGCCAGAAACAGGCTCTGAGAGGACCCTGGCTCTCAAAATGATGCCAAACGGCTGTATTTGGATGTATTGAATAATATGATAATAATATATAGTTATGTAGTCTATAAAAGTACAATGTAAGAGCTGCAACAGCTGGTTCCAAAATGACGACCTCGCGTGACCTCTCTGTACTAAAAGCCTCTTACTCTTCACTTTATCCCAGCCAAACTTTATTCTAGGACTACTGATCGGTTGTGCTATGATTTGGGAGAGTTTTTAGGCAGCCAGCTGCAGTATTTCAAAAACATATCAATAAAAGTGCTTTTGTTTCAGGCGAACCTGAATTTTTCAATTTGAGCTGTGTAATATCTTCATGTACTATATTAACCAGCAACATATACACAATATTTACCCATCTGAACAATCTCACAAGTGTTATCTGATTATAGCATCAAAAATGATTAAAATAGACCTTGTAGTTACAGAACTGAAGTCTCTTTAGTATGGGTATGCCATTTTCGAGCAGAGGCCTAAAACTAGGGCTGGAGTTTAAGAGTATTTGGCGTTAATGCCTTGTAATGCTAATATCAGCAGAGGATGAACTGATATTTCATGGAACTAAAAAGTATTTTCAGTCACAGGATGTTGATTCAAATAAATGATGTAAGTATCGATCCATTATTAGTCAGAGGTATTGATCAGTGGAGCTTTAAATCTTCTTGTGTTAATAATAATAATAGTTCATCTTCATAATATGTGATCTGCAGGTGTTGGAGTATAAGTCTGACCTGAAGCAGTACTGGATGCGTTTTCATGGTCATGTGATCAACAGTCTGTCCAGCTGTCCTCTGTTCCATCACGTATTCAGGACTCTGGACAGAGCTGGACGTCCCCGCAGGTCTGTGACCTCACAGGAACATACGAGTTATTATTATCAACTGTTTGTTATGAATTCATTGTTATTATATTATAAACTTTATTATCATAACAATACTTATTAACTAATATGTATCTAGTGTTATAATATGTATTATTAAGTCATATTTATTATTTATCTATTATAATAATTATTATTACATAAACCTTTATCATCATTGTAATAATGATAATTCTTACAAATATTTATATTACTATAAATTATTATTATTTGTAATAGTATAAACTAATATTATTTAAATTTCATAATTTAAAATGATCCGTGATGAATCTGTAAACTGTGAATTCAAACTCTTATTCTAAAGGATCACAGAGGACAGGAAGCTGACAGAAGTGTGCTTTGAATGAACTTTATTGTCATCAGGTCCACCGATGCTCCTCCTGAGCCGGCCTCCATCCTGATTGGTCACGCCGAGACGCTCCTCCCCCTCCTCTCCCTGCTGGGACTCTACAAGGATGAGACTCCGCCCACCGCTGACAACTACCACTCACAGCATGGTAGGAAGTTCCGCCACCCCCCCCACGTCCAATCAGAGGATGGGGCCGTGAAGGCACGATTCGCCTGACGTTCTTCTTCTGTGGTTCTCAGGCAGAAGCTTCCGGTCCGGTCTCATCGTCCCGTACGCCGCCAACCTGCTCTTCGTCCTGTACGACTGCCAGCGAGGCCCACGGCTGCAGCTGCTCGTCAACGAGTCGCCGGTTCGATTCCCGGGTCTGGAGACGGAGGACGCGCCGCTGTACCGGGACGTCCGGGCCGTGTACCGCCACCTGCTGGACGGCTGCGACTTCCACAGGGAATGCGAGGGGACGAGCGGCGGCCGGGGACCAAACATTGAACTCTGAGGCGGCAGGTAGAGACGGTGAAGACACGAGGCCTTAATCAATACATCGGTTTACTGAAACTAGTGTACATGTACACGTACGCAGTACTCACAGCTCAGCGCCTCCTGCTGGGGAGAAACTGAACAGAAGCTTTTTAATGTTCAGTAACAACAGATTCATGAATCCGTCTGCTTTAATATCACGTTATGAGTTCTTCTTCAAATACCAAAAAGGGTAAAAAAGGTAAAAAACTGATCTTTTGCATCAAAGCTGTTTCGCCGCGTCGACCTCAGCAAGCCCCGCCCCTTCCCTGTGTCAACCAATGACATGTGAGCAGTAGTGATCGGAGAGAGAGACAGTCAATGTCTGATCGTTTAAAAGATATTTTCAGTTCGTTGTAGCTTCATTTAGTTTAGTGTTGAACTTCGTCTCGTCACTGTGAACGTAGCTATGTTAGCTAGCGAGCTAACGTCACTACGTTCACAGTGACATCACGTTTTCTTGTTTAGTCAGCGACAAACATCGTATCTTCAGAGAGAGCGTGATGTCGTCTGTCTAAAGATGTATGTTTTACGATGAACTGACACTTTCTTGAACGTAAAATGATCTTTTAAATGTTCAAACATCAACATTTGTTCCCAATTCAAACGGGATCAAACTTTATTCGTCTCCGTTGACGAGCGTCCACATTTCTTCTGGATTAAGGTCCCAAAGTCGTCCACTGAGATGCTTTTAAAAGTTTTAAAAATATTTTGTTTCTAATTTTTCAATCTCATAAACCTGCAGTTTCTTCTTCACGTTTTCACATCTGGAGTCAAACACAGAAATACGATTCAATAAGCATTTAATGAATTATATTAATTATAAAAACACTATTTTAAATGTTATTTCATCATTTCTTATTTGTTTCTGTGATGATTCATTAATAACTTGAGGATAAAAGAGCGTCACAGATATTAATGATCTTCTTCTTTTGGGTCTTTTATTTTGGTGAAGTGACCATTTAATGTTTAAGTCAGTTCAGAAAATGATGTTTTTTGTTGGTGACACTTCAGGGTTCATCTGTTTTTATTCTGTATTTATTGAAATGATCATGTGATCCTTTTTATTTAAAGCTGCAGTTCCTCTAACGGACACCAGAGGCTGCTGTGATCAACCGACTGTGTGGAAGTTTTTCACAATAAGAGTCCCGTTGAGGAGATAATGAGGCACTTTGTGTCTTCAGGGAGAATCGTTTTCTGTCATTGTTTCTAAATGAGTTAAAAGTTCAAATGGAGGCTCAGCTTTTTAAAGGGCCGTCAGGTTTCACTCTTTGACTTCCTGTTACTGCAGAACGATACCAAATGTTTTCACTGAAAAGCTTTAATAAACGTTTTCACTCGTGAAGAAGAACAACGGAGTGTTTCATGTTATAATTCTTTATTTTTGGAGATAACGTGTAGAAACATGTTGACAGTCATCGACGCAGCCAAACAAACTAATTTATGAATTAAAAGTTATACATTTCAATAATCGCGGTATGTTAATAACTAATCAATGCTGTCAATGAAACCGTTACAAAACTAAAATGCTGTGAAAACTTCTCACTTTAAGGAGAACGACTTGGTCCACCTTAAGTGTACCCGAGAGTTGTTAACCACTAACCTTCACTTTAATCAGCTATAAACTCATGTCTCATATTCATGGACAACAAGTTAAACATTCTGTAAACTATTTGATTTGGCTGCTAAATATTTACTTACGTGCAGATTTCTAACACTTCCTGTTTCAGGACGCTCTGACTTTACATACTCTGTCGTTTCTTTTCTTATAAATACAATATATTTATATTATACTTTGTCTTGTGAAACACTTGAAATAATGAGTTTCTTTAAAGTTTGATACTTTAGATTTATTACTTAAAATGTTTAACACAAAAACATTTTATGTTTTGACAAGTTTATTTCACTGTCCATCAATTACATCATCAGTTAACAGGAAGTGTAAATAAAGAGTGACTTTGTGGTTTACAGATGAAGTGATCAAAGAATCCATTACTGTCGTAGATTAAGAACATTTTATTAACTTTATATTCTATATCTTATGTTTTATCTTAATTATTATATATTTAATATTTGGACCAAAGGAGTTATTGAATCAAGAAACACTTAACACAAAATATAAACCACAGACCAGTTCTTCAAACATAACATAATAATAAAGTACACTTCATGAACGTGTCGCTGCAGTAAAAAGGCAAAGCTTCTTTTACAAGTCATTTATTTACTAATAATTTTCTATTCATGTCCCCGGAAAGAATACGTGTTATGTACTAATATATCTATTCATATGTTATTTATGAATAAGTATTCTTCACTGTTCAGGTTCCCCTCCAATGTATTTATTGTAATCAATAGTTAACATTTGCTTCAGGTCAGCCAACTCTACTGGAGATGTTGAATGTTGTCTTAATGAGTTTCTTTATTTAATTGAACAGTTTCTATTTTATGTTTCTTTTCAGGAAACTTCGGTTAAATTATTAGGAAATAAGAGAGCTGTGGGGGGTTTCACAATAAAAGATCAAGCAAGGAGAAAGTCTGTAGAAGTCAATGGAAAATCCAGAGATCTTAATCCGTTCTTTTGTTTTGAGTTCTGATGTCACAGCTGCTGAGGCTCATGGGTAGTGTAGTACGTACGTACGTACGTACAGTAGAACCCAATGAGAGGAAATGTAACAAGAATTCATTCTTCTTATTTTAAAAGATTCTCAAAGCAGCGTTTGTTTCATGTTTTTATTTCTATTTCTGAGAAGTGGCACATAAACGGGTACGTTGGGAATCAAACCCACGACTGCAGGCAAAGCTGATGTCATAACACAATGGTCATGTGACCTGTGTGTGTGTGTGTGTGTTCAGTCCAGAGCAGCGTGCAGCAGAGCGCTGTGACCGCCGGCCATCTTGGATTTCTTCATCTTACCGATCGCCTTCTGAAGGTCTAACTGATGGATCGGACGGATGAAGTCCTCCGATGGACTGAGAGACAGACGGTTAGAGAGAGGTAAAGATGGAGACAGAGAGAGACAGGTGATTGTTTTCGTTTATTGATCAAAGATAAAACATTTGATAAATTATATTTAATTAAAACAGTATCAGACAGACAGGTACCTGTCGTTCTGCGTGTGGACGAAGTCTCGGACACAGAGCAGAGCGGCGTCACGACACATCTCTCTGAGGTCACTTCCTGAGAAACCGTCCGTCTCTTTGGCAACGCCAACCAGGTCAACAGACAGGTCCACCTGCAGAGAGACGGGCAGGTAGAGAGAGGTCAGAACGTGGACAGAGGCGGGGCTTAAGGTTGTATGGTCTCGGAGAGGAGGATTCTGGGTATTTTCATCCGATTTTTAAGCTTGTGATGTTTACAGAGTGTCAGTGAAGGCCACACGGTGCGTTCGAGGGACTCACGCTCTCGTTCTCCAGGATCAGTTTCAGGATCTGTTCTCTCTGACTCGTACTCTGAAGGAACAAAACAAACCAGGGCTCTTATTTTGAAATTTAAGTATCTCAACTCAGTTAGAACCAGACTCAGGTTCTGGTCTGATGGGGGTCACTAGGAGTACTTACAGGTTCAGGTCCTGGTCTGATGGGGGTCACTAGGAGTACTTACAGGCTGGTTGATGTGGAACCTGGTGGGCATCCTCCTCAGAATAGCAGAGTCCAGGTCTTGAGGACGATTGGTGGCTCCCATGATGATCACCTGACACACATGATGACGTCATCAACAACAGACTCATTATTATCTCTGTCTCTACCTGTCTGTCTGTACCTGACAGTGGTGGTCTGTGTCCAGTCCGTCCCACAGACTCATGAACTGGGCCTTCATCATGGCCGTGGCCTCGTGGTCCGAGCTGGACCGGCTCCTCAGGAACGAGTCTGTTCAAGGAACAGTTCAACATTTAGTTAGCTTAGCATAAAGACTGGAAACAGATGGAGACAGCTAGCCTAGCTCTGTACAGAGGGAACAACAACTAACATAGGTTTAAACTCATGATTCAGACCACGCCCCTCCTTTGATTGACAGCTCTCTGTCTGTCTGTCTGTCTGTCTGTCTGTCTGTCTGTCTGTCTGTCTGTCTGTCTGTCTGTCTGTCTGTGTGTGTGTCTGTGTCTGTGTGTGTGTGTGTGTCTCACCGATCTCGTCCACGAAGATGATTGACGGCTGCAGCTTGACAGCCAATGAAAAGACAGCAGCAGCTAGTTTCTGAGACTCTCCGTACCATTTGTCCGTCAACGTGCTCGGCTGCAGGTTGATGAAGCGAAACCCCGCCTCCTTGGCCGTCGCCTTGGCGATGAGTGTTTTCCCGCAGCCAGGAGGTCCGTAAAGCAGCACGCCTGTTACCATGACGACATCATCAATCAATGTATGACATCATGACACTGATCTACAGCCTGTCTCACCTTTAGGAGGCTGCAGTAGTCTGGAGCCCTGGAACAGGTGTCTCTTCTGAACAGGTAAGATCACCGTCTCCTTTAACTCTGTGATGACCTCGTCCAGACCGGCGATGTCCCTCCATGTGATCTATTTATAGATTATGACGACATCAACAGGGTAACTACCAACAGATGTTCTCTCCAGCGTTAGCTCGTAGCGTTAGCAACCATCATCATCATTTATGGCGTCTAATATTAATAATAGTGATTATTATACGTCATAAATACAATAACTATTTGATCCTGATGAACGACAATCACCAACACCGTCCAATCAGCAGGTTAGCTGACTTCCTGTTTACTCCTCTGGTTGGTTTGTGAACAGAACCAGAACTAAAACATCACAAAGTATCCAAATGAACATCAACAACAACTAATCTCTAAAACAACAACAAACTTAATTTATTGACTAAACTTGAGCATGAGGCTAAGTATATTAGCACAAGACTAGGTTAGCTTTAGCATGAGGCTAAGTATATTAGCACAAGGCTAGGTTAGCTTTAGCATGAGGCTAAGTATATTAGCACAAGGCTAGGTTAGCTGGTAAAACCTGCATCACATTGTGTGTTTTAAGTGTTTTTAATCACTGGTGTTCCACAGGGCTCCCCTTTAGGTCCTCTGATGTTATTCTATTGACTCGCTTCTTTTTGAAAATACAATATTAATGTAACTATACTTCTCACAACCTTTGTATTGTACCTCTTGTATTGGTACTACTGTTAGTACTCATGTACTGTGTTTGTTACCTGCATGGTCAGAGGGTCGACCAGGTGAGCAGCGATGCTCATCTCGTATTCTGACAGCTTCACATTTTTAACTCCGATCTGACGCATCAACTTCTCGGCCTGAAGGAGAAAACATCAAAACACGTGACCAGGATTTTATTTAACTAGAGAAAGTTAACTCAGCTCAATGTTCTCCTCACCCGTTTCTGAGCCTCCACCTGTCCCTCTAAGCCCACCCCAACCATTTCTGAGCCTCCACCTGTCCCTCTAAGCCCCGCCCCCCTCACCTGTTTCTGAGCCTCCACCCCTCCACCCCTCCCTCTACCCCCCCCCACCTGTCCCTCTAAGCCCCCCCCCTCAACCGTTTCTGAGCCTCCACCTGTCCCTCTAAGCCCCACCCCCCCTCACCTGTTTCTGAGCCTCCACCTTCTGCTTCCTGGTGGGGTCGATGGCATCCACCATCCACTTGATGGTGAAGTAGGTGACGGCTCCAAAGATGGTGAGTCTGAAGAGAAGACCGAGGACCTCGTTCCTGCCCAGAGGACGAGCCATGTTCTCCACGGGGACCTCCCTCAGCACCATGGTGAGGGTCAGGGCTGCTGCTGCAGCAGCAACAGCAACAACAACAACAGGTTAGACTGTCACTCATTCAGCTCCAGCTTCAAGTTTCTGATCTTCAGTCTGAAGGAAACTTGAAAGTGTTTTTAAAGGCGAGACTTCTCAGACTGATCACTGTGGTTCAGCTGCTCTGAGACGTTTCATACAGAGAAGACTTTATTTATATTGCACCTGTAAAACCAGAGTTCCAAGTGTTTTGACAGACAAAGCAGCAAAATAAAGGAAATAACAGAAATATCACTCGATACAAATAAACTATGAAACAAAAAATAAATGAGTTCATGAAAG